GATTTCATCAGCCAACTAGCAGGGGTTCAGACGTTCGTCAAGGTTCCAGGATGGAGTTGCCAGTTCATTCAATCCGATATTCTCCACATTTTTGACTTGGCACTGGTGCCAGAAGCCAGTGCGTGCTGCCTCGTGGAACTTCTTGAAGGAAACACGCTTGGCGCGGGCAGTCCAGATGACAAACTTTGAAAAGCCTTCATCTTGTTTCCTCGAGAACGCAAGGCCATGAAAATATGTGACTTGGCAAAATCAGGAAACACTGTCAATGCCTACAAGTTTGGGCAGGTAGATTCAACACCCTGGTTCACCCCAAGGTTCGAGAGGAGAGCTGTTCAGTATGATCCTTGGCGGTAGTTTCCGCTAGTGTTTTTTGGATTCGTGGGCTGAGCTGGCTGAATTAGCCTCCAAAGATTAAGGAGACATCTACATGCTGTCGGCAGCAAACACTACCCGAGCATTGCTCAGAAACATGTCAATGGTGCAGCTTCTTCGACTTTGCTTAGAAGAAATTGGTTTTCGACATGTTCCCATGTCATTTTAGAGGCTCAAGGGTTTGAGGTCCACGTCGAAGAGATCATGGGATTTATCACGGAATGTGCGCTCAGGAGTCTGTGGTCCTATTCCGCTGCAGATTGCGGAGAGGCACCCAGAGGATGAGCACTGCGTGTGCCTTGCATTGAATTTGGGGCCTAGTCTTTCGAGAATGTTGTTTTGACGTGTTGTTGCCATTGTTGGTCACAAGGATGGTGGCAGCTGTATTCCACAACCTGTGTGTAATGCGGGACTCTATGAGTGTGAAGCGCAGCCCCCCGGTGATCCTGACACCACAGGACCTTGAGAATTTGCAGAAAGCCAACTATCTCTTCCACTGTGCTTACAACTGTGCCTTTGTCATTTAAGAGTGTTTCGGAATCTGCTCAGAATCATGTCCTGTGTGATGTTGCTGTTGTCTATTGATGGCGTAAGGGTTGGCCAACGAAGCGATCGCTCATGAGAAGCTACTTTGGAAGTTGAGGCCGAAGTTGCACCGTCTAGGCCACCTGGTGTTGGATGTCACCCCGCTTCAAAGCCAGTTACCACTGAGTTGTTATCAAGATGAGGATGGCATGGGGAAACTGAAAAGAGTGGCGGCGTCCAGCCATCCCAAACGGTTGGGATATCAGTGTCTCAGCCGCTATGCGGCTTTCGTGTGTTGCCGTTGGTTGAGGCAGCTGGCAGAGTAGAGTAGAGTAGAGTAGAGTAGAAAAGACAGCCTTCCACAGAAATTCACAATCTTCTTTACATCCCAAAAGACGGATGGTATGAGGATGACACAACTCATGTACACCTGCCCTCTGCCAGCAGCCCCCCAACCTTACCGCTGGAGCCTGATCGTGGCCCGCTCCAAGAAACAGGCGCAAAGGCAGCGCAGCCCGCAGTGGGATGGACGTTCGATGGACAACGTTTTCGATGGGAACCTGGAGAGATTTTGGGATTCAGGTATGGTGTGTTCAAAGGGGTGTCCATTGGGCACCCCTTATCAATCATGTAAACCCAAAACTCATTGGGCACCCTTCGGATGGTGCTGATATATATATATATATATATACATATTCCAACTATACCGGGTGGTTGGAGGGAGAGTGTGACTGTTTGGGCATGCATGGGAATGCAAACATTGGTTTTTGTGCCACTTAGACTCATTAGACTCAGACTGAGATCGATTCTTAAGCACTATCGGCTCGGTCAAAGCATATCACTTTGTCCTAACCATCATTGGACCCGACTCCTGGTTGGTTTTGACCCTATATTGGACCCTTTGAGAGTCCTTGGTTTCTTAGAGTAGGTCATATCTGGCTCCACAATCGCTTCATTTTCCCCTCAAGAAGGCTCAACTGGCAAGCCTCAAGAAGGCCAAAAGCCAGCCAGCCGGCAAGCAAGCTACTACTCCAAGAACATATTCGCTGTGCCAAGTAACTCCAAACCAGCCTTTTGTTTGCACCAAAGAGACTCCATTTAGCCTCAATACTTTCCAACTGTCCAAGTCCAGGTCCAGGTCCTGTCCTCTGAAAATATCAGCAATCTTTAAAGCACAAATCTACTAGTAGTGGAGATACGTTTGAGGGGACGGAAGTGACTACAATACCCAGACACTCCATGGGGCTGCCATACATGCCGATCAATTGGGGTGGTTTTGGGGGTCAATGGGGCGGCATATATATATATATATATATATATGGCAGTCCCATGGAATGACTACAATAGATAGATTGCTTCGTCAGGACCATAGGACTGGAGAGAAGACCATGTGACCGTTTCCGCTCCACCTTCCCCCAACCTAAGCCAGACCAGGAAAATCATGAAGCCAGATCATGGCAAGACGGGATCTGGGTAGCTCATTGTAGTTACAGTAAGTCTAGGGCACTCGGCTCACCGTACATAACCAAGGCTTGTTTGTCCTCCCGTTTTCGCACACACGTCGCGGACCAGACAGCGCGTCCTCACCAAGATGCCCTCTGCATGGGTGCCTTGGTACACGTTGACGTAGACGAAATACCTTATATTAGTTAGAATCTCACACTTCTTAGGTGAATCGCAACTTATTGTTGGTTGCAAGTGTTCAGTCGGACTACACACCTGAAATAAGCGGTGGAGCCTCCAGGCAGATTGGGATTGCTTTGAAAACAACTGGTTCGTCAAGCTTGATTACCCTGCCTGCAGCTTCTTCTCCGAGTTTGGTGCCATGCCAATGCTGTTTGATTCTTTCCCCCTGGAACTGATTTGGTGTCCACACCCTGGGCGGTGGTCCAGGCCAAGACCTTCCCTCTCCCACCTGCCACTTCTGAGGTCTCGTGCAGCCCTCTGAGACGACCCATCTGCACGTCCTCCGTGTTTCACGACCGGAGTCATTGGACATCCCAGACCTTAAGAGTCCTAGAGGGTGGAACAACACGATGGGAAAAGCACTAGTCACTATCCCCACAGACCCCCACAGGGTCCAAAACCTCCTAACTTCGTTTTTGGTGGACTTCTTCTGTCGTCGCACGACCGAAAACTCCAGAGCACGACCGTTCGTTGCCTGGGGACAGGACCGAGCTGGGTCGAAACGGAAACGGGTCGTTGCCGACGGGTGGTCGTTGCCGACCCGAGCTCGTTTGGGATCCGCCCTGGGCCCTGGAGGGACCGATGGACCGATGTGTCGGAACGGGTCCGCAGAAATGAAGAAACATGGCATTTCATGTATCAAGGAAACAAGAAGCTGCATTGCATGCAGAGAAAATCACGCATGGATCATCAAAACATCCGGATACAGCAACATACTTGCGGAGGAACCTGAACGTCTGTGACATATAGTGACTAGCCTATAGTCATGTGGCTGCTTCCAAACTATCTGTTTTGCTTGAAACATGTCCCCACTCACCAACATGCAGGGTTTCGACCGCAGGGTGGGAAGCTGAACGAGACCTTCACCAGCTCTTCTCGGGTCCTTGATCCGCTGTTTAAAACATCTGTGGAGGTTCTTTGAGCTCCTGGACCTTGTTGGGCCATGACTCCTGCAACATGGTCCCCATCTGTCGCCAATTGGGTAGTCTAATTACATATATACAGTATTTAATTATATAGGTGCTTGAGGTCTGGAGAGACTCCACCAACCATTCCAGCATCATGTCACCCTCCTTTCAATGATTTAAGGAAACTACAGTCAGGAGTCAGGGAGTCAGGGCGCCAGTGTCTGTCGTCTGCATTCCCTGCCCTCATCTACAGCCCGCTCGTCCTTGAAGCCATGAGGGCATGGCGATGTTCTACGTGAATGAATCCCTTCAAAGAGAACACATCATCTATACCCAGACACTCCATGTATGCCATATATGCCTACATTGACCCCATAGTACCCACCCCAATTGATCGGCATATATAGCATACATGGAGTGTCTGGGACAGTACACCACTTCACCAACTCGGCTTTGGTGTCGTCTTCTCGCTGTTGGTCCGTCTGGCGTGTCGCGAGTCTATCGGTCCGCGGTCGGCGGTCTGGACTGAGCCGCCCTTGGCAGGTGACTACCAACTAGGAAGCTCCTGTTTACAGGAAGCACGCGTTTGTTTTTGACAGTTTTTGACAAGTTCTTAAAGAAGAACACGTTTTGCAAGTCGAATACGTTGTTTGCTTCTCAAGTACTTGGCTCTGCACGAAATGGCTCAAATTCTCGAAGTATGGTGATCCTACCATTCATCCATGCAATGCCCACAGTACCCTTGTTAGCGTTCCTTAAGTCTGATTGAGCTCAAGCCTAACTTTGAGCCTTGAACGAAGGCAACCGAGGACCTCAGGCTCTGGAGCGGAGCGATCTGCGGCCATGAGTGAACACGCCTTCTGGTGCTTGGCGGGTTGGGTGAAAATCATGGTTCATCTGTGTCACCATCTGACGGCAAGTCCGCAAGTCGTTTTTGATTGTCTCAGCCAGGATGGTTTAGTCTTGTATCAGCCACGGCCGGATTGGCAGTGAACTCCTGGCATGGAGAAATGATACACAAGAAAAACATCGCATGTCTGGTCACCATGTTCTGGACAGCTCGACCCCGCTCGACGGGCCACTAACCTCTGGTGAGCGAAAGTTGGAAAAAAAACACATGAACCAAAACAAAGTGCTTCGTGATAGCTAAGTCCTGATACCATTTCGCGGAACAATAAAAAAGGTGAACCTATCTTTCCACCTGTTTTCTGAGTAGGGTAGCCGCTAGCAAGAGATTTTATGCTGACTATAGGTGTTAGTTAGGATTGAAGGAATGTCCCCCCAAAAAACATCCCCATCGTTCACATCGGTTTCTGATTATATAGCTGATCAAGCACTTGACAAAAGAGCCAAAGACGCCTACAAAATCCTTGCAAAGGGTCATCTCGACGTGAATCAGCACCCCAAAATCAAACACAACCGCATCACATCGATTGTGATGTCGCCTGCCAGTCGCCTCAATCAAACGTGACTGACCACGTGTGGAAGCTCCGCTCGTTTCGCCCCCTCCTGCGCTTTGAGCCGCACGAAGCTCTGCAGAGCATCGCACAGCTCCGATCCGCTGAAGGCGTGCAGGCCACGGAGCACCTGCACCGCAAAACGAGGACTGGCTCGGCCATCGGAGGGGTTGAAAAGGGCTCAAGATAGGTACAGATTTGCATAGGTTGAGTGTGTGGGGTTTCCAAAAAACACCGATTGCGTGGTGATGTCAGGATATGTCAGGCATATTCCAGGATATCTCACTCAGAGTGGTCTTGAGCCAGCATCTTATTCTTGCGTTCAGCGAAGCGCATGTGACCCTAATGCTTGCATCGTCTATGTGTTCCGACGGTTTTAGACTTGAAGTACGTTACATGGTGGTTGATCTAAATTCTTGTTCATGGAAACTGCCTTTTAAACTTTTCCTAAATCTTTGAGGGATCCTACCGCCCTAGAAGTTGTCGTGCTATGGTACCACGCACCTACGTACGTTCCAAAAGGGCCCAAGGTCGTGCTGCACGACCTGCGTGGTGTTTCGTTCTCGGCCTGTCAGTCCCTTCACATGCGGGGTCGCAGGGGTCTTCCAAGTGCATCGGGCAAGGGTCTTCCAAGTGGGTTTTGTTGGAGCTTGGTCTCCGCATCCCAGTTGCGCAGATCCATCCATGGGACTGGCCTGTTGAACTGCGTTGGGGTGGTTTTTCAGGGTTCAATGCAAGTAAAGTTTCCATACAGTCCCTGGAACTAACATGGAAGACCATTTTCCACTACAAACAGGTGGTTTTCCACTTCCATGTTAGTTCCAGGATGTTCCAGGTCAGAAGGTGGTTAGACCCCCAAACCCACCCCAACCGGCATGTAGTTGGCGCATGTTGGAGCCCGGGACGGGTCCGTTTCCCCCGGCACTGGCCATCCATTTGCCCCGCGGGTTTCGTCGGCCTCTGCCTCGATCACTTCCATTGCTGCGCCCGGCCTGGAATCGCGGATCAGCGGCTGAGGTGAGCAGATTCCCAATCAGTTAGGAGGGTCTGGGGGTACATGAGAAGATGGTTGGGGTGGATGCCAGGGGGGTCTAACCACCGTTGGAGCCCTAGGGTGCAGAACCTCCATCCAACAAACATGGAAGTGAAACATGGCCCCAGAAGGAAGACTGAAGTCCTCGATTCAACTAGGCTGTATTCCACGTCCATGATTCAGGGAGGTTACCATTGGGAATGAAAGACAGGGAGTCCAATCTTGCTCTCAACCCACTGAACGCTCCGTTTGGGGTCCCTCAAAAGGATACTTCCACAAGCAGTTGATCTTCTCATTCGAAACGTGGCATTCTCATTAGTAGCGGTGATAGTGCAACAGTCTGCACCACCCTACCCTAGCTTTTGAGTGAATGGAAGAGATAAAACATGATAAAACACACGGATGGGCTTCCTAGGAATGGATATACACTCCCTGAAATCATCATGCAACTGCAAGTGGACCCCTCCTGGTTGTATCTGGTTGTAGCGGAAAAGGGGTCATCCAATGGCCAGGCTTCCACTATGTTCCACTTCCATGATTATTATTCCAGGGAGTGTGAATACCATCGCAGTGCAATCGGGGTCTATATTGACTATATATGCCTGTATCCAATGTTGCCCAACCAATCGTTCTTCTGTCAGCCGTGCCCTTTGAGGTTTGGATGTTGCCTTACTTTGTGCTACTTGCATACTACTCTGAAATGTCTTGTGGAAGTGGTATGGGAAGGGTATCTTGAAAGGGCATCCCAGTTCTGAAGGTGGAGAAACATGGGTTGCCTAATCCAGTGGGAAGTCCAAGTCAAATTCTTTCTTTTCAAGGCAACCCACCCTCTGGAGAACATGTTGCCTTCAGCCACTTTGTACAAGATATCCTTTCAAAACATGGCTACTTTGTGAGCGGAGAAAGCTCCACTACAAGAACAGGTCCGTGAGCATTCGTAAACCCCGTCTTTTCTTAGATATTCACCAATCCTTCAAGCATCACCGGATCGAATTCTTCCAAACGCCGAGTTGTTGCTTCAGCCTTCAGACCGGCCCGTCTCAGACCATTCCCCCCCCGGTCAGTACTCGTACATAGCGCGCTACCGTTTCGGCTAGCCGCCGGCGTACCACGCCTGAGCTGGGGTCGTACACGCCGCGCCGCCCGGAGGCACCGCAAGGCGTCCTGTCCGTCGAAGAGGCGGGGCACCGGAGGGCAACGGTTGTTGGAGGTGGTGGTGTAGCCGAGTGTAGTCACAGAAAACGCAAGGGATAGGAACCCTTTCCTTTCCCAAGCGGTGCGTGGGAGGCATATACAAAGTGTTCCTGGGAAGAATGAGTCCTTTGATGAAGATTTCTATGGGTTTCCATCCTCTGGATGGGCGAATGTTTCTGTGAATGGAAGGCCCAGAAAATGCAACAGGCCAAGCTCTGGAAAACCATTTGGACTTGGCATTGTTTGTTCTCTGAATCAAAGGAATGCTCAAAAGAGCGTGCATGTTTTGTATGTTTGTTCTTTTTGTTTTAATGACTTCGGATTCAGAGCAACAAAACAAAACACAAAACCAAATGCCAAACCACGTGGCGTCTGTTCCTGTGGCGTCAGCACCAAGACATGGCGCATGACCTGGCATCGAGGAACCGGGAATGGGTGCAGGGCCCAAGTCGGGCAAAGAGAGCTTTTTATATATCGTGTATACAAGTAGTTGTGGGATGTACAAAGAATGTAAATATAGTAATATATATATATATATGCATACATCATATATGATATATCAATATACCATTAATGTTACACAAGCTTTTGTGGACTGATACAAGGAGTTGTGGGATGAATGTTCTAGATCTTTTTTACCCAGTACTGACTACACCAGCAGGTTGTCTCACAAATCTCCCGGTGGAAGGTGACCAGTTCATCCTTTACCTCCAATGGTTGAAGAGCCTTTGCCTTGGAACATACTCAAAATTCTACCTAGAGGACTATGTCCTTTCCACTATAAACCAGCTTTGAGGATTTGAGGGTGCATGTTAGTCTGCTATTAGTAGTCACCGGCAATACCACCCTGAAGAGTGTGAAAGCGTCAAACCTGCGCAGGCCGCGCAGGCCCCCAACTCTGCACAGGCCCATTTCCAGCAGAAAGGGTGGAGCTTTTTTAGCGTCCAAAAGATGCCAAGGCAAGCTTGCTGGCTCAGGACTCGTTTTTTAGAAAAGATGACATGCTCAGGACTCTTCCCATGTCGGTGTGGTCGCAACTAGCGTCGCTAGCTACCGAGATCGGAACTAGCTGTCGGGGTTGGGGATTCCCTCCCTGTAGCTCCTTGGCTCCCTGTTGGCTGGCCTTAGCTCCTTAGCTCCTGGCTCCTGGAATACTCCTGGCTCCTTAGCTCTCCCCAGCACCAGCGAGTGAAGCAGGTAGTCGGGTACATGGGCCCCCCAAAAAGGTACCCGAAAACTCTCCCAGTGCCCGACACCTCGGCAGTTAGACTTGCCGGGAGGTCCACCGGACATGAGACGGGTTTCCTGAGGTAGTGCATCCCTCGGTTGGGGAACATCCCTTGATTCCTCGACAGAAGGGAACAAGTGTGTTCTCATTTCAACACAACTTCCAAAGGCAACCAAGTGACCTAGTGTGTTGGCAGGTGAGCCAATAGCTTGGTTCTAGATGAGGACTCAGATGCAAGCTTTGTGAATGGAACATAATTGAACTATATAGGCCAGCCTGGATAACTTATCAACCAACAAGGCCTGGATGCCCCAACGTGTCTCCCATCCACAGGTACTGACTCAGGTAGGTACTCTGATTGTGGACCATTCGGCCGACAGTCCGACTTAATCTAAACGTCAATGACTGTTACGTCTGAGACAAAAAGAAACACAATCCCTATAGGGATCCAGTCGTGCCGAACCTCAGAAGGTACAACTGGACCCTCCTGGCACTTACATCACAGTGTCTCCTATGACCTTCTTAGAGGGTATGTGGATCCCTAGGGAGGGTAGCATAGTCTTGTCTGCCGCAGGATTGATTCTGGATCCTGCCGCAGGGTTTCTTCCGACCAACCCCACGAAGCATAGTCTCGCTGCCTCCGTCAGGAGCTTGGCGCAGAAGTCCGGGTCCCAGGTCGCCGTGGCCTGCACATCGGCGTTCCTTCCCCGTCGCGTGGGGACGTCGCGGCGGCAACTTCCGTCGATGGACTGTCCACCGACGGGACGGACCCAACAAACTTCTTTGCGCTCCTGGCCTACCTCCGTTTCGGTTTGGTGGGACTGGGGTGGGTGCCACGGGGGGGTCGTGAAGTGCCCACCGAACCTGAGGAGCTCTGGGCCAGCCGGAAAACGACTCAAGAAGTGAGATGTGAACGAGGGTGAACCAAGACGAGTCTTGGGCCAACGTGCCAAGCGCGAACCTGAGACCGGTCGGTAGGTTGGTGGGTCAAAGACTTCAACCGTAGACCGACTGATTCAGCCTGATTCCTTATAGTGGCTGCGTGGGCCAAGAACCGGAGTTTTCACAGGTTCAAGACAGTGTACAAGTAACACCATGCCCGGACCCAACTTCAAGCACCCTAGAACATATAGACTCATAGACATAACCCGACTAAAAGAGGCACGAGTACTTTGAGACTCTACATATATTCTGTGTTGCAGCTTTGCTTGAGGATCACCATATTCAAGTTCATTGCATTACACTTTAAACAAGTGTGGGTGAACGACGATCGTGAACCTTGCATCTGTTCCAAAGCGCACAGACGAGTTATGTATCCTCCAATGCTCAGGCGTCGTTGGATGGAACCATTTAGGTCCCACCCGAACGATCCAAACCTGTTCGCGAAGTTCACGCGGAACTGGAAAGCGAATCCATGTGAATCCCAACCGGGCGTGGGTTCCATGTGGGTCTCAGGTTCCGGCGGAAGAGTCCTGAGCATCGAATCCACAACTTTTGCTATGTCCAGCATCGGTGAGACGGAAAAAATACGACTCGTTCCATGGAGTTTGGATGAAGTGCCTTTGTTCCATCCTTTTTGGCAGGAACGAAGCAAAATAAGACATGTCATGACATGTCTATATCTGTCTATAATTTCAACCAGTGAAATGTTGATCATTCTGATATCAAAATATCATGCATGGTGGATGGTTGAACATCTTGAAGCATGTTATTTTGTTCATGGGCATTCACCAGATGTTCGCTGTAAATATTGAGCTGAGTGGCAAACAAGAACATGTCACAATGTCAATGTTTGGTTGCGGAGTTTCCACCAAATAGATCAGAATCATTCAGAATCTTAAGGAACTCCAAAGTGGAAGGAACTCCGGACTTCAAGTTCTGATGGCCGACTCCAAATTTGGAAAACAAAGGGTTTAGGATTCTGGGATTACCTGCTTTCGAAAGGGACGCCTAGTCTTTGTTGCTTTGGGAGCTACCGTGGCCTGCCACTCAGTGCCACTCAGGACCGACCTGAAGGGTTCGCGCGTTCACGACCGACCGTTACGCGTGCTGTGCAGCGGAGGGAGTGGCAGCGTCGATTCTCTATAAATGAGATTTGGGATGTATAGGACTCAGGACTTAAGATGCTGTGGAGTATGGTGGAATGATGGTCACATTGTCATGTTTCCTGCTGCGCAAGCCTGAAGGCGCATGATGAAACACGTGAGGAAATGCTTTCGCAGCCATGACAAGAGTTCCCCCTATCATGTATAGTACTGTGTTCCAGGACAAATGCGCAACTCACAGCATGAGCAAAGAAGCAACTCTGAAGAGCTGTACTCAGTTTCAGTCGGTGACTCAGGTTGATGTTCCGACGGTGGTCCTATGCCTTCATCCTCGCCATTCGACCGGGCTGAACATGTCCCTTGTTGGAATCGAACATCCACGTTGATTTACATGTAGATTACCATAGGGAGTTCGATTGATTAGAGACCCTTTCGAGCCACTCAAAGCCTCTCAAAGCCACTGAACAATCGGCCAATTGCGACCTGACTCCAGCCTTAGACCAGCCTTCCACAAACCTATGCTGACTGCCTCAGTTTGGGAAAGGCCATTTTCCTGGGTGGATACGTACAGTCCAGGCGGCAACAAAATGCACTCACAGAATCGGAATGTCGAAGACCCTTGGACTGGAAAATTGGGAATAAGAACACCATGTTCTCTTCTCACGCCTTTTTGCTGCGGGAGCCTTTGGCAGTCTTTGCCGCCAACAAAAAACATGCTTTCCTCACCTTTCGGGCAGCCGACACGGCCGACCGGGGGAGAAGATCGCGTTCCAGGGGCCCCAAAAACACCATGCAAAACAACAGCGTTCATCATCGCTCACCTTCGCCAAAAGCCTCGCTTTATGTTGTGTGTCTTTTCTATAGCTTGTTTTTCATGGTGAAACTGGGTGCCCATGGTTGAAGCAGTATGATGCAGTATGGGTCTTTGTCTGAGTGGAGGGACCACAGCGCCTGCTATACTGGTACCATCCAAAGCCGAAAACACAGGAGTTTGGTCACCTCTGGCAGTATTGAGATATCGGAATGCTTTGAACATCCTGGAGTTGAATGACTTGGGAGCTCATGGGAGCTTGTCAATAAATACTGCTGGAATGCTTGCCGCTGGGTCCCTCCCCCTTTGGCCCTTTGGCCGCTGTACGTGTTTTTCGTTCGCATGTCCGATTGGCATCGATTGGCCACAGGTGGCAAAGCAGTCCAGAGCGCCGAAGGAAACAAAGCTGGGGTTGACTCCCCTCCCATGCGCCGGGTGCCATGCCCCAGGCTCTGGGATTTGGTGTCAATGGCTGGCGGTGGATGGAGACTACTGCCTCTGTCGGGTCAAATATCGTTGTCACTCCAGCACCTCTGTCAGTAATATGGACTCGTGTCACGAAACACTGGTGTGTATCCGAATGATTGTATCTGCATACAATTGTTTGAAGAACATATAATATATACCTAGAACCTAATCGACCCCTGTTTTGGATTCAAACCATGTTTTTTCCTATCAAAACAATGGTCCATATATATATTATACTGTATATATTTATATTATGGTCTCAAATAGATCCAATATATTTGCTCGACTTCAACATGTATTCCAGTTGAACTCAAACCAATCTTTATGTGTCGTCTTCTGTTCAGATAGGGATCACCAACCTCCTCCATTCGACATGTCTACTGCCTTGAAGAAATGTAGAAAATCACCCGGCCGACACACCATGTGTGAGAATTGGGGATCCCCCAAGGTCGACCTCTCTGGAAGAAGGGAAATAGACCAGTCTACCCATTGGTTGGGGGTCCCCTATTAAAAACACACATACACACACATCAAATCACCGAACACTGGGTACGCTCGTATTCAGCATCGGATTTGTTTTGAGAGGGGAGTCATCTGAGCGATGGTGTAGTGCAGCATGGTAAGATCATGATCTGTAGGTAAAATACCTCAAAATCAGAACAAGCGACCATAAACATTGGATTGACCAGGCTGTCCCTTTATAATTGAACCAAAACAAAGCACCCCTCCAACCTGCCAGACTGGTTCTAGTGCATCTTAACATGGGTCGGCTGGTGAGAGGTTGCTTCTCCAACGACTCTGGACCGAAAACAGCGCCGCTGCCAACACCTCTGCTCGTGGGCCGTGAACCGTCAGACCACGGTGGCCGTCTTATCCTTTCCTCAGACATCTGACATCAGCTGCTTTCTGGTGAGTGCTTTTTAGCAGCTTGGGAACATGCTATGCTGCTTTTCGTGGGTATTTGGGCAGTCATGCTGCTTTTCGAGAGCACGGCATACTGCTTTTGGCTCTTTCGGGTCACAAAACATGACAAGACATGATGCCACATGATACCGCAACGTCCATGGATGCTGCTTCATTCATCGGGATGTAACCCTCCTTGGTCTTTTTTGACGAAAACAAATCACTTTGAGACTGATCTCAATGTCCCACAAGCTACAAGCTACAAATGATGGGTACTCGAATTCGATACCTCCTGAGTCTACCAACACTCCTGTGCTCCTGTGCTTCTGTGCTAACCAGCGGTTTGTTGGGAACGCTCACACATCGGTTGCTGGGATCTCCGTGCTTGACCGAGACTCCGATGGTCACGCCCGTCTTGGTGTGCTTGGGCGCCACGGCCTCCTCCAACAAGAACAAACCAACATCATCTTTGGCCACCTTGACAGGAGCGTGGTCAGCTTCACCCTCAGGCTTGCAATGGATCTATTTACACCTCGAGTCGACCTGTGAATTCGTACCTCAGAACATGGGTATATATACCACGTGTTTATCGTTGATTCATTTGTTCGGGTCCCTGTCCTATTTTCGTCCGGGTACGCGGTTGAAGTCGGGTACGCGGGGTTGTCTCAAAAAACCACCGCGGAGAGCTTCTCAGAGCCGATCCCAGTTGTCGTAGCCTGTGGGGAGACCCGGATCTGGAGAACACGGCGACATCGTCGTATCAGAGAAGTAAATGGATGGCTGGTTAGTGATTTCAACTCACTTGAAAAGTAGTTAGTGGGAGAAAATCATCCCAAGTAAAGGTTGACCCAAACCACATCTGAAACGACCACCCAGATGGCTGCGTGACTGCGACGGTGAGGACGCCCAGAACTCCCCAGAATCCATGCCATGGGACTGATCAGTTGAACCTTCAAACAGCTTAAACAAAAGAAACCTAGCGCGACGTGCGGTCTCAGTCTTATACGGCCCATGTTAGACAAACATCTTATACCATGTTAGACAAACAAAACATGTTCGATAGATGGGTGGATGATATGTTGGGTGAGCATCTGTATGCATCTGCTTCCTGCGGCAATTGACCCAACATCTTGAAGCCACCCAAAATGAGATGAAGGTCCGTCGCCCCACCGTCCGCCAAGATCTTTTTGGCTGTCCATGTGTCTAAACTCACCCAGGCTACGGTCAGCGGCAGGCTGCCCTGGCCTGGGAAAGCGTACTCTTTGAGAAACAAACGTCAAAAGAATCATGGTTTGGATCTGGTCAGAAAACATGGAACACCCAATTGATTAGAGGTTCTTTTATGTTCTGTTGGGAAGGAACCATGTTGAGGACTGAAAACCCAGGATATGGAAACATGTCTTCTCTTTGTGTCTGCTGCGGTGCTCAAGTTGGTGGCGTAAACACATGACCCACATGG